CAAGCAAGCATACAGAGTCTTGACGTAATGTTTACAAGTAATTTCAGAAAGATTATGCATCTGAAATAAAACTTTAAGCAAATTAAGAATTCAGGTCTTTTAAGATGTCACTTATTTTATTTTTATAAGGCATCTGAGGTGTTCTTTATTACATGAAGAGCTAACATCTATAGGTGTGTCCCAGTTTGTGTTTTTTGAGTCCTCAGTACTGTATCTGATTGTGTTAGGGAAAGACTTTCAGAACAGATTTATGTTGCTAAATGTTAGTTTGCAGAAGGTAAATGAGTTCCAGTTCAAGATTAAATGGGCTTAGTTCAAAGGCTAATAAAGATTGTGATACAAGCTATACAAATACATACTATCCCACAGAGCAATTGCTGTTCCCTGTGTATGATGTATAAGTGCTTTACAGACTTACAATCTAAAATAGGACCGGACACTATGGGTATTCTATCTTCAAAAGATGCAGGCAGTAGATTGCTAAAAAAAAATAATAAAAAAAGTAATAAATAAAGAATTACTTAGGAAGAAAATAGGTTGCTTTTATGAGACTCAGTGGTCTAAGTTAGCTAAACGATGAGTGTGGTAGTGAGTATATATTTAAATAAATATATTCAGTTTAAGATTTGTCAAGCAAGAATGAGAAGGTGAGGGAGTAAATGGATTTTTTTCAGGAATTCCTGTTCCTTCCTGCAAAGATGGAAATGGTAAAGTGTTTGAACTAGAAAAAACCATTTATGTGTGAAGACCAATTCATCTGCAACAGCTGCTCTGAAAGTAATGCTTCCTATTTTACTGTGTTGGCACACAATATCAGACATGGATGTTGGTGGTACAGCAGTAGAGCTTGAAGCTTGTATCGAAACTGCTGAGTCACGGCCTGAACCTCTGATTGATCACCGGAGGCGAGGCATGAGTCAGCCAGAGGAGCACAGCTGAAGGCAATTCACCTGTGCTGCTGGAAGGGGTGGAGCCTGGCTGCACCCCTCCTAGACCTGTTTAAGAGCTGGCTACCAGTGGGGAAGGATCTGTCCTGGAGATCGGCTTTGCTGGAGTTTTGTGAGTGAGCCCAGGATAAGGGTAAGCCTTCTATTTATTCTCTTTTTGTTATCATAGTCTGCTCTGTCAAACTCTCTTGTTTATTTCATAATTATAACATCTTAATATTCATTGATTATACACAGCTTCTCATCAGTATTCCATTACAGTTTGTTGCTGTGTGACAGATGGCAGCAGAGGGGCAGCCTGACAGAATGGCATGTGACATGGGATGTGTATGAAGCAAAGGTTTGTCACTGAATTCCTCCACGCAGAAAACATGGCACCATTGACATTCACTGAATTTGCTGAATGTTTATGGAAACCTAACAGTGGATATGAGCACATTGAGGCGGTGGGTGGTGCATTTCAGCAATGGTGACAGTGGGCTACCTCTGGTGCAGATTTGTACAAGCATGGCATGCAGGCTCTTGTTTGCTTGCAAAGATGCGTATCTAGTGGTGGTGACTATGCTGAGAAATAGCATTTTGTAGCTGAGAATTTGCTCAAATAGTGTTACTGTGCGCTCTGCATCTGTTATGGTTTCCATAGAAACAAATAGGAGGCATTACTTTCAGAACAGCCTATGTACCAGATCCAGTAACATCAATTTATTTTCCTTGGTATTGCTGTTATTATGAAGATGAAAACAATTATTCACATTGTTGTCCATCTAGAAAAATATTTACAGGTGTCTATTTTTAAATATTTTCAGCGCTATTTTTGTGTCTTTCGTGTAAAGATTGAATAATTGCTGTAGTTTTATGGTAACAATTGCTACTTGATTGTAAGACAATATAAAGAACTTTTATCTTAAAAAAAAAAAAAAAAAATCACTTGCCTATTCTTTAGGTTTGTAAAATGAAGATTCTTTTCTGCGAGTGAAGCCATAACCAACTCACATAGGTGAACTGTCTGACTAATTATAAAGCTTATGTAAGAACAGACGTGCCATATTTATCTTGATTTAAGATTGGAAGAACCCAGGTGAGCTTTCTCACTGCTCCCATGCTTTAACAATGCAGAGTAAGTAGCCCGGGATCTAATTTTCCCTCCTTATTGAATTGTGGTCATGACAACCGTCTGTAGAAGGGTAAACTTTACAGTACTGTCTTGTTCAAGGGTATCATGTCGGTGTTATGCTGTGTGATACAGTTAGGTAATGGAAAATAATACTGTACAGCTGCTTATGCCTTTCTGTGCGTTTTCTTTTGTTTACTTGATATTTATGTGGCCACTGTGGCAAGGAAAGTATATAAACAACACCAGTTTTGAAAAAACAAGCTAACATTCAAAAGAAGAGCCATTTGCTTAGGAAAATGCCACTGTTTTTGACTCTTCAAAGCTTTACACATTATGTATCGAATACGATATTTTTTTTTTTTCTGCTGTGCATCAAGCATAGAAAGCCCTTGCTTTTGCTTGACTTTATGGCAAAAGCTTGCCTTAGAATATGTGGATAAAAATAAACAAAGGTAAAGTCAGTGACAGGTCATTATTTTTGAGCTCCCTCCTGCAAGGGAGCTGTTTGCAAAATGAGATGGTATAAAGCTGAACATGCCTATTAAACAGCATCTAATAGGTTCTCAAAATCTGTTGTTCACCTCCCCCCCCCTCAAAATTTCTACACAAGGAAGCTTTTACTGATATGAGAGGGAAAGTAATTTAATTCGGCTTTGCCTGCTCCGTGGTAAAAACTACATGGATATTATGTCTCAAATTGAAAACGCAACAGTGGAGATTGTATGTTCAAGTACTTTGGAAATATTATGAGAAGATGAAAAAGAAAGGAGGGCAGGAGAGTTCTTTCTGAAGTTATGACATACAGTCTTGCCATATGTTAACGGAAGAAGTAGCTGCTTGCTTCATTGCTAGTGCTGGATAGAAAGCAGATGAAGACACTTCCTCCAAGTTGGGATAACTGTATATGTCTCATAGTATAGTGATGGGGATTGTGTAACTGTTTGCTTATTATTGCTGCTCGCTTCTTTGCCCCACGTATACCAGTGATAAGAAGGATCCTTCTGCTGCTGCAGATTTAGGCTTGCTGATTTGAGCATTTTCACTTGAAATCCATTTGTAAAGGGTCATTTGCCCATTTCTGGTGAGATTTCCAGTCCTGTAACCATCTGGGCAAGGGAACAATGATAGTGACCCTTCAGAACAAATCTCTCCTGGTTTATTGGCAGCTGAACTATGCCACCTGTGTTGATGTGCACCCCTGTCCTCAGATGGAGCAGGCTGGTGGCAGCTGCACAGTCCTTGCTCTAGAAAGGCACTTCTCCAATGCAGGTTCTGTGACCCACCGAGCTGATTAGAAAAGGATGTTCTGAGCAGCAGGAGGAGGTGGTGATGAGTATGTGTGAGGTGTATGGCTTGGAATTCTAATTCTGAAAGCAAAGATAGAGAGTTTTAAATGGTTTTACTTAAGGTTTGGCTATAAGATCACTTGTTACTCCTTGAATATAATAGAAGAAAATTATTATGTGGAATCTAGGTTGTGGGAAAATATTGATGTATTCTGCTGTGCCCAGTGAGAGTGTGAATGGTGACAGGTTTTGGGAGCAACACTGGTTTGCTAGCATAATTGCTGTAATAGCACACTAATTAGACCCCAGTTATTCTTCTGTAATACAGGGATTCTTCGTTTCTTTCAGTGCCGCTTTCTGATAACGATACATCAGCAGTAACTTCTGGCTTTGCAGCAAGAGCTGCTTTATGGTGGAATGAGGCCATGCAGCTCTGCAGTCATGCTGGAGTTGAGCGTGTTGATTTTGGGAACTATTGTACAGAGAAAGGATAGAGCTGGCATGTGCACATGTGGTCAGGAACTTGTGTGTGTGGCGGTGATGCTGATGCTGAAACTGTAAATTAGGAAAGAGGGATTTTGAGAAGTTTTTATTGGAGTCATTTCAGAGCTGCAGCAGGATGAGAGGCTGCTCAGCCCCCTGGTATTCTGCGGGTTGGCCATGCGCAATCACAGCTGTTGCTGCCTGGGAAGCTGCTGAGCACTGTGTCTGACACGTCTGTTGTGATTACAAACTACATCTTTGCACGCAGGCGCAAAGATGCACTTCTCACATCGAGTGCCATTTATTTTCTACCGATCTCCATCTCTGGCACCAGTGGTGCCCAACTGCCGATTGGAGAAACGGGCCCTCTGACTCGTGCAGCTCTCAGAGAGCTGCTCGCTTGGAACTTGGATTCAGAACGCTCGTGGGCCAGAAGGCATGCGGAGCACGAGCACTGGCTCACAGCAGCTCACCCGGGGCTGGCCGAACGCCTCAACTAAGGCTGCCCTAGCGACCCAGCCCGCGAAACGCGAGCTGCTCGCGGCCCGTTGCGCCCGACCGTCCCGGCTTTAGGAAAAGGAGTTGCAGTCGGGCTCCACTTCCAAAATGGCAGCGCGCCGCGGTGCCCGACCGAGGCCGCACGCGCCCCGCCCCGCCGCCCAGGCCTGCTGCCGGGCTGTGCTCGGCTCCCGCCCCGCCGGGACCGTTCCCCCGCGCCCGAACGCCGCGGCGAAGGAACCCGCGGCCGCACGGCCCTCGGGTGCCGGGGAACAATAGGCAGCCGCCGGCGGCGCAAACCTAACCCCTGCGCTGCCGCAACGAGACCCGGCCGTGGGCAGCGATATCGCTCGGAACGCGAGCCCAAAGTAGTCCCTCTTTGTTCACCGACGGCGAAGGTCCCGTTCCACCTGTGTCCTTCCGCCGCGGCGCCGCTCCCCCCCGCCCCCGGCCGCGGAGCCGCCTGTCGGCGCAGGCGGGGCCCGCCGGGGCGGGGCCGCGGCTCTTTGTGCTCCCACAATGCACCAGCTTCTCCTCCGCGGGAAACAAAAATGGCGAGGGGCTGCGCCGGAGCCGGGCTGGCCGTGAGGCGGGTCTGACCCCTCCCCCGCCTCCCTTCCTCCGCCGCGCCGCGGGCACCGCGCCCGGGGGGGGCTCGCTGCGCACCGAGGGCCCGGCCGCAGCGCGGCGCCGGGGGGAAGCTCCCGAGCTCGCCATTTCCCTGCATGAGGCGGTTGGCACCACTGGAGAGACCGAATGAGGTGAGGGGTGGGGGGGGGCGGGGAAGGACGGACGGAAGGGAGGGAGGGGCGGCGGCGGCGGCGGCTGCGTGGGGTGGGGGGCGGGGGCGCGTCCCGCGGCTCGGGCCGCCGGTACCGCATCGCCTTTCCTCGGTCCGCTCCGGGCCTCGGCTGGGGGTTCCCCGCAGGCGGCGGGGCCGTTCCGTCACCGACACAAAGGAAGCGGCGCTGCGACGGCTCGGGGGGCTGCGGCGGGGGTACCGGCCCGAGCCGGCTGCGGTTCGTCCTCGGCTGCGGGTGTTGTCCGAAAAGGCGACGGCCGCTCGGGTGCGCGGGAGCGCACAAAGCGCCGCCGGGTTCTCTCCCCGCTGGGTTCGTTTCAGCGCTTTGCCTCGCGGTCTGTCAGAGCGGAGCCATTTGATCGTGTTTTGAAGCTCGCATTTTAAGTTCGTTTCGGTACGGTGACTGCGGCGGCCTGAAAGACGCGCCGTGACGCGTTAGTTCTCCTTTCCTTCTGGGGTTGCGTAGGAAGAACGGGTTGGTACCTCTGGTACCCGAAGGCACGGTGTGGTGCCGCGGCGGTGCTGTGCCCGGGGGCGCTGGTGCGGGGCCCGCACAGCTCTGTAAGGCCATCTGCACAGCTCTCTTCTGGCTTACGGCGGAAAGGAAGGTGGTCTGTGCGTGGTGCCCGAGCTGTCAGAAGCATGAAATAAAAGGAAAGTAGCTTGTTTCCTTTTTGTTGTTTGTAATCAGGTTGCTGAAAGCAAACGTTCCGTGTTTGTTCTGAGAGCTCGTTACAAAAACTTGGGAATGTTTGAGGTTAAAAGAAGGGAGGAAAAAGATGTAGTTCAGGAGCATTAGAATGCAGGTTAAAATATGTATGCGTTGTTAATTTAAAGAGAGAAAAAGAATAAGGGGACACACAAATAGAAAAGATAAAGCATGTAGTAAAGTACTGAAAGGAGGAGTGTCTGCAAGGAGCTACATGGTAGCGGGATGTGGGTCTGAACTGAGGCCATTACACAGCAGTGTTTTCTGAAGTTAATTCTTGCTTAATAGGATATGGGAAGGAACTTGTTGAAGCTACAGAATTGTGCCCTGAGAAACTCTAAGGGAGGTGTTTGTTGCTTCTGAAAGGTTATCTTTATGTGGCTGGTTACGGGTTGTTGAGCGGTGTGTGTATATGTGCATGTATTTATGAAAATGTGCATATGTACATAAATACACAGCAGTTGAAGATGATGTCAAGACTTGGGTTAGATATGTTTGTCCTTCAGTGCAGTAGGAGATGAGGTGAAACGTACAAGAAGACAGCCATGATAAGTATGGTGCAGTTCCTTTACTGTGAAGAGTGGGTGTATGAATTCCTTGGAGAGAGATGTGAACGAAGATAGTGCAACAGGCGCCTGAAGTTGCTTTAAAGCACATTTTACACAACAAAATGAGTGGTAAAGGAGAAAGCTCAATTGGAAGAAATAAGAGTAACTGAAACCCAGTGGAAATCTTTACTTAGTTTGGAAATTGGCATTTACTGTCTGTGCAGCTGATCTCTGAGCTTATTGCAGAATTGGTTTTGCCATCTTTACAGACCTTCTTTGCAGGAAACAGAGGGGAAGTGTGTCTTTGAGTAAAGCACACCAGGAGAACTTTGAAACCATGGATAATGCTGGAGGGTCCTTTGCAAAGCGATATGTGTTACTGGAAGTGCTGAAACTTGTGTAATTTATGTTTTAAACAGTCTGCACATCAAGTTGATAGTCTCTTCCTAGAAGGTAGAATCTCTTATGAAATGAGATGAAGAGGCGTCATTTGCTCTGAGATACAAAGAGCACAATAACAGTCCTTGATAGAGCAAATTTTCAGCTACAAAAGGCTGTTTTTCAATGTAGCCATCACCAGAAGCTGTGCATTTTCACCAGCGGTCAGCAAGAGCCTGCATGATGCATTCGCACAAATCTGCACCGGCAGAGGTGGCCACTGTCACCACTGCTGAAACAGCACCCACTGCCTCACTGTGCTCACATCCACTGTTTGATCCCTATAAATGGTCAGCAAGTTGTGACGACTATTAGTGGGTTCAATTTTTTTCATGAAGGATTTCAGTGACTCACCTTTGCTTCATATGTAGTTCCATGTCAGACACCATTTTGTCAGGCTGTCCCTTTGCTGCCATCTGTTGCACAGCAACAACATGTAATGGGATATTGGTGGGAAGGTTCAACCTCTACTGCTGTACCTCCAACACGCACCTCTCACGTTGCAGGCCAATGTAATAAAATAGGAGGCACTACTTTTGGAACGGCCTTCATAATACTTCATTCTTTGTTTTAATTTCATTAATTTTTAATTCCATGCAGTGCTCATAAAAGTCACAGTTTTTGTAAAAAAAGAAATAAATAAAACCTTTAAAGAAAGAAATTCATCTTCGTGAGTTTTGATCACTTCTGATTTTTTTTTTTTTTTTTCCTTTCCAACACAAGTCAGTGCGTTGTCTGTAATCTTAGCTGCCTGCGCAGGTGCTCATCCCATGCTCTTTTAGCTGTGTTGCTGGGCGTGCTGTGTTTGGATATTGAAGAGAACCAAAAGGCAGTTGTGATCAAGGGGATGCTGCCTGAATGTTTAAGGGAAGATCTCAATATGATTGTTCTCTCCTTAATATTGCCTTCTTCCTCTTTTTGTGTGTAAACACATGATCTATCCCAAACAAAGTGCTACTGCCCTGTTTCCCTGCATACTTCACTGTGTAGGGAAATATGTTCTGTTATGGTCTTTTGGAGACTAATCCTTTGGCCTTGCATATCAAATAGAATTTGAAAACTTCCAGTTATTTCTTGAGGGTGGGCTTGAGCAAATAGAACCTGAATCACGAATGATTGTATAGCTAGCTAGCCACCAGGATAAGTGTTCTTCCTTTTGGTGGTATGAATCAATCCTGTTTCAGAAGGTCATGAGATTAGGAAGTAGCGGTCATAAGGGATCTCAAGAGGTCTTTGTTTCTAAGCAGTCCATCTTCAGCCACTGCACCAGGGTGTGATCCAATCAGCCCTTGAAAGACTGCAGTGATGGAGGCACCCAGCACCTCACGGCCTATTCAACTGCCAAACTGTCATTGTAGGAGAAAAAACACCTACCCCTGCATCTGTCAGAAGCTATTTGTTTAGCTTCCTGCCATGCAGTATTGTGAACTGGCTTGTCCCATCCTGATAATCCTCTCGTAGGTTGCTGCTAGACCTCCCTAAAGCTATTTCATCTCTGGTCTCAACAAGCCCAGTTCCCTCAGCTTCCTCTCACAAACAGGCACTGCAGTATTTTTCCTGCACTGGGAGACCCACCACGCAATACACTATGCACTGTCTGGTGAGTTCAGGAGTAGAAAACAATAATCGTTTCCCTTCAGTCTTCCTGCTTGACTTCTTTCTAGTGCACGATTCATGAACCTGACTACTTATCAGCTGGATGAGTTGCTGGTTCTTAGTTCTTATTACTGCTTTAAAAAAAAAAAAAGAAAAAGTACTATGTCTATCAGGTAATGTGATATACTTTTGAAAGCATAGAACTACTAAAAAAACAGAAATAACAAAAAATCTCCCCTGACAAAGCAATGAAAAAATGTTCCGTGAGGAGTGTGCAGTTCTTTAAAGTGTCTAACCAGACAGAAAAACTCAGACCAAAATCTTAGCCAAAATGCAAGTCTCCTTCCAGCGATTTAAAAAGGAAACAAACAATCCTATTCGGATAGTAATGTACTGAATGAAAGTAACTTACTATCGTGAGAAATTTTAACTTGTTTTCAAGGAGCACCTTGAATAGAAAGTGGCTGCCCTGAAGTCTCTGATGGTGATGGATAAGTCTTGCTGCCCTAAACAGTACTTAACCTTCTATCTGTGATTGGATTTGTTAAGTGTTGCTTACTTGAGTGGCATTCGAACTGGCGTTTGTTGCACAAGTTTAAATAAATGTGTGAACTTGACTCCTACCATCCATGGGAACGGACAGGCTGCTTTCAGGAGCACTGTGATAACTATGTGATGTTCTTGTGAGACTGCTCTTTATCTTCGGTTGTGGGGAACAGGGGTAATCAGCGATGACCTGAGAATGGCAGATGTTCAGTGTGTTTTCAGAACTGTCCAAAAGGTCAAGCTAGGGAAACACGGCTGGTTAGGCTCCTGTTGGCCAGTGGAACAGGGCCCTGGGAGGAGAGTGTGTGGCTGCCATCACTGCAGGCCTTCAGGGCTGGCTGGGTAAACCTGCAGCAATCTGGCCTGGTGGATGAACTGAGCAGAACGAGGGACCTCTGACATCCTTTACAACCTGAATTATTCCATTATCTTCAACATCTGCAAAAACTGAAAGGAAAAAAAAATAGGATATGTATCTACTCCTTAATCTCTAGTGTTTGTCTAGGCTGAGTGATGCCTAGGTTAGTAGATGATATGGCTTAGGCTTTTTATTGTGCCAGAATATGAAGTAGTATGAAGGTAGGGAGCTCAAATGTATCATACAGATGTTCTGTGTCACTGCAAGTTTGAAGTAGCATGAAAGGATAGGCTATATCTCGATTTACATTGGATCTTCTGCTTAAAAAAACATAATGGCAGCTTTTTGATTGTATGGTAACTGTTAAGTCGTGGTCTGAACCACTGATTGAGCACCTGGGGAAAGGACCTGGTCAGCCCTGGCAGCACAGGTGAAGGCAGTTCAGCTGTGTGACCAGAAGGGGTGGATCCTGGCTGCAGCCTTCTTGGACCTCATTTAAGGGCTGATTGCCACTGAGGTAGGATCTCTGGTTGGAGGTGTCTTTCTTGTGGAGTTTTCCCCACACCCTTCAGAGACGGGTGAGCACTTTTCTTCTTCCTTTGTAACACCTTTCCATTCACACTTGTTTCTTTGTTACTATGCCTTGTTTATTGCCGTTCTGCCACACTGATCTTTCTGGCTGTTGCACTAATATAATAGACTGTTCCCGTATGATTGGAAGAGTGACTGTCAATAAATTTGCTGTTGGGACAAAGAAGTAATAA